GACAGTCCCAGGGCTAACTAGTAGGAATGACAGGGATGCAGGTTTTGGTTCAACCTGAGAAAGAATTTTGCAAGACCAATGACTTATTCATTGCAAACACCTTTTTCAACAACATAAATAGCAGCTATACATGTGGACCTCACCAGATGGAGTAATAGGAATCAGATCAACTACATCTGTGGAAAAAGGCAATGGAAAAGCTCAATATCTTTAGGCAAAACAAGGCCAGGAACTGACTGTATACCAACCATCAATTGCTCATATGGAAGTTCAAGTTGAAGCTGAAGAAAATTAAAACAAGTCCACAAGAGCCAAAATATGTGAATTTAGAAGCTATCTAAAGAATAGATTTGGCACATTGAACACCGGTGACGGAAAACCAGATGAATTGTGGGATGACAGCAAGAACATCATACATGAAGAAAGCAAAAGGTCATTAAAAAGACAGGAAAGACCAAAATGGATGTCAGAAGAGACTCAGACTTGTCCTTGAATGGAGAGTGGCTAAAGCAAATGGAAGAAATGACAGGATAAAAGAGCAGAACAGAAGATTTCAAAGAGCAGCTTGAGAAGACAAAGTCATTTATTATAAGGAAATGTGCAAAGATCTGGACTTAGAAAACCAAAAGGGAAGAACGTAGTCAGAATTTCGTAAGCTGAAAGAACTGAAGAAAAATTCAAGACTTGTATTGTAATATTGAAAGATTCTATGGGCATAACATTGACTGGTACAGGAAATATGAAAAGAAGATGGAAGGAATACACAGAGTCAGTGTACCAAAAAGAACTATTCAATGTTTATCTATTTCAGGAGGTGGCATATGATCAAGAACCAATGGTATTGAAGGAAGAAGTTGAAGCTGCACTGAAGGAATTGGTGAAGAACAAGGCTCCAGGAATTGACAGAATACCCACTGAGATGTTTCAGCAAATGGATGCCACACTGGAAACACTTATTCATCTAAGCCAAGAAATTTGGAAGACAGCTACCTGGCCAACTGCAGTGTAGTAAATTACTTAGTATGGCTTTTCTACCCATAAGGCTTCGTAAACTCCAAGGTGGAATTTGCCATGAGCAACTGAGGAGCTCATGATTGCTAAAGTTGTCCACCTGAGGTATTTCTGTTGGGAGTAGCACAAAACAATGTTCTGGGAGGTTCCCGCTCTCTCTCAGGTGCTTAGAATTCTAATGTTATGATAGTTGGTTTGGCCACTCTGCCGGTTTCAAAAGGAGGCCTCTTAGAGGCGGAGGGCTCTCTGACTGATGGTTGAGGAAGACGTGCTGTTGAAAGAGACACGCACTCCTGAGAGACACGCGCTGCTAGGAAAGAGACGCAAGAGACACACATTGCCGAGTGAGACACCGAGGGGGACACACTGCTGGGAGAGAGACCGTGAGAGACTGTTGGCTGAGAGACGGTGGGCTGGGAGAGAGGCTGAGCGTTTTTCCTGAACTTGAATTGTGGCCTGGTGCTTCCCTAATAAACCCCGTAATCTGTGAGTTCTGTGTGGCCACTGCAGCGAATTACTGAACTCAAGAGAGAGGTTGGTGAAAGGGCTAGAGGGAGGCAGCATGTCTGGCCTTGCAGGTATAGGCCTTGGGTTACTGATAGTGACTCTGTCTTCCTCTTGTGGGGTTTGAGGAGGTCAGATGTGGCCTCCCTGCCCTTTTAGCACCAACTGACTGGAAGAGATCCATATTTGTACCCATTCCAAAGAAAGGTGATGCCACAGAATAGGGAAATTATCAAACAATATCTTAATATCCTGTGCAAGTAAAATCTTGCTGAAGATAATTCAAAAACAATTGCTACAGTATATTGACAGGGAGGTTCCAGAAATGCAGGCTGGATTCAGAAGAGGACATGGGACAAGGGATATCATAGCTGATGTCAGAAGAATCTTGGCTGAAAGCAGAGAATACCAGAAAGACATTTACTTGTGTTTCATTGATTATGCAAAAGAATTCCGTTGTTAAGCTCATAACAAATTATGGATAACATTGAGAAGAGTGGGAATTCCAGAACACTTGATTGTGCTCGTGAGGAACCTGTGTATAGACCAGGAGGCTGTCAATCAGATAGAACAAGGGCATACTGCATGGTTTAAAGTCAGGAAGGGTGCGCATCAGGGTTGTATCCTTTCACCATACTTACTCAATCTGTATGATGAGCAGATAATCTGAGAAGCTGGACTATATGAAGAAGAATGCTGCATCAGGATTGGAGAAAGACTCAATGACAGCCTGCGATATGAAGATGACACAATCTTCCTTGCTGAAAGTGAAGATGATTTGAAGCTCTTGTGAAGATCAGTGACTACAGTCTGCAGTATCGATTACACCTCAACATAAAGAAAGCCAAAAGTCCTCACAACTGGACCTATAAGCAGCATCATGATAAATGGAGAAAATATTTAAGTTGTCAACGATTTCATATTACTTGGTTTGACAGTCAACACCAATGGAAGCAGATGTCGTATTGCATTGGGCACATCTGCTGCAAAAGACCTCTTTAAAATGCTGAAGAGCAGAGATGTCTCTTTGAAGACTGAGGAGCACTTAACCCAAACCATGGTATTTTCACCTTGTGTGCGTGTGAAAGCTGGATAATGATTAAGGAAGACTGAAGAAGAGTTGATGCTTTTGAGTTGTGCTGTTGCTGAAGAATGCTGAAAGTACCATGAACTGCCAGAAGAACTAACAAATCTGTCCTGGGAGAAGTACAGCCAGAATGCTCCTTGGAAGCGAGAATGGTCAGACTTCATCTCATTTACTTTGGTCATGTTGTCAGAAGGGACCATTCCCTGGGGAATGATATCATGCTTGGTAAAGTGGAGGGCTGGCCAAAAAGGGAAGGTCCTCAATGAGATGGAGTGACACAGTGGGTGCAACGATGGGCTTAGGCATAGCAAGGATTGTGAGGCTGGTACAGAACCAGGCAGTGTTTTGTTCTGTTGTACATATGGTCAACATGAGTTGGAGCTGACTCAACGGCACCTGACAACAGCGAGAAAGATTGTTCTTATAATAAAAGCTTTTAGATGACAAGCTTCCTGGAGAAGTAGTGAGTTCCCTGTTATTGAAGGTGTTTGGAGAGAGACAAGATTGGATTGTCTGCCTTGCTCACATCTTTTTTCATTTTGAGTCTCAGCAGTTCTTATTGAACTGGGAGAGAGTTAAAGAGTCAGATTCTCACACAAGATAGACAGGGCTCATTTAGTCCAATAATTTATTGGTATGGGGGCAGGACCCTCCCTCAAGAAGCAGGGCGAGCAGAGCATTAGGAGCTTTGGGAACAACAGGAAGTTACTTATAGTAACCCATTACTTAATTCATCACACTAGTTAAGGATTTAAATAGACATTTTTGGGTGGAGGGGAGACAGTCCCTTGGGGAGAATTGAAGCAGATATATGGCTGCAGATATAAAGGCATGTCCAGATCTGAAATTGGTGGAGACCATGATGGGTCCTTTCAATTGTTTTCTTTCTCTTGCATGTTTTGTTTGAATTATTTTTCATTATCTTTTTGTGTTCCAATAAATCTGCATATTTATGAATTATGAAACCATTGACTTAATCTCTTCATCTGACATCCTTCTCATATGATTCATGTAGACTGAGGGAGAATATTCTTAATAGTGGACTACTACTTCCACTTCTAGCCATAGAAAATGTTTGCCTTGATGACTATGAGGAAGTTTGTCCAGTGGTTAGACTTGCTATTTGGAGTTTCTAACCTATATAGAGAAATGCTGGTTATTAGATGGGGCCTAAGATGTAGGAGAAAAAGAGCAGCAGTGGCAAGCTGTGAGTCATTGCTTTGTTGATTGGGTGCTGGGGATCAATATATCAGTATCTGTTTAGGAAAAGCCATCAAGTTTGTATTTTCCTTTAAAAGTTGCCTTGAGAAAAGTAAAGAACTTCCTTTGGGAAGTTTCAAGAGAAGGGCAAGGTTTGATCTTCCAGGTGGGGTTGTTTGGGTCTGAGGCATCTGTGATCAGTGAATGAAAGGTATGGAACCTTACCCCAGAAAACATCTGTTGACATGTAATTTCAAGGCTTCACAGATTGCCTGAAAACTGGTCCCAGTTAGGAGACTCTACCAGAAGGACATAGGCAGAGTTCCCTTGGTACTTTGACAAGGTGGAGTGATCACATTACTGGGAAGAATCTGTTGAAAACCCAGGTGGTGATGTGACTGTGGCGTTTGCCACCTCCTTGTTCCTTTTCTAAGTGTCCTGGAATTCTTGATAATGAAAATGACAATCAGCAGGCAAAATGTAGCATAGGGTAAGTTGGTTTCTTTCCTATTAATCTAGTCTCTATCATTTTAAAAAAGGACTGCTCTCAAGTGGAATGCAGCAACTTCTCAGCAGCTGCACCAAATCAACAGAGCTTTGAGCATGGAGAAGACAGAGAGCCAAAGAATGAGCTCTGGGGAGCTGTGAAGAAAAATGCATAAGCTTCCAATTTATAATTTATCCAGAAGTGTAGGGAAATTATCTAATCACAGAGTAAGATTGTTTCATCTATAAATCATTAGCGATCTTCAGTGAACCTGATTGGAAGGAAGGCTGGGCACTCTACTTCCGTAGTGATACTGCCTCGGAAACCCAAGGAGGGGTCGCTGTGAGTCAGATCCGACTCCACAGCAGTGGGTTTGGGTTTTTTTTTTAGTGAACCTGAAACAGAATATTCTTGGCTCTTGTGATGTTGTGATGTGACATTTATTTCAGTCCTGAATGTGAGAGAAGGTGCTGCAGGAATGTTACTGGGTGGTAGTGTGGGCTAGGCATAGTTATCTGATGACCACCTTACAAGTGCAGTTAGCAAATGCTATTGAATCTGGCATGTGTGGAGCATTGTCCTCAATGCTAGGAATTCAGGTAGTTGCTTCTACCCTTGAGGAGCTTGCAGTCAGTTGGCCAAGAAGCATCCTCAGGTAAAAGGTTATCCATCTAAGTTATGATTTTTTTCCCCCTCCATTTCTCCAATCAGCTTTTCCCCAGACCTGGCTCTAGACTCACCAGGCACTGACCACTTTGTCATCATTGCCCAACTGAAGGAAGAAGTGGCCACTCTAAAGAAGATGCTGCATCAAAAAGATCAAATGATTTTAGAGAAAGAGAAGAAGGTACGGTTTAGTTAATGTATTTTAGACCAGAATGAGGCAAGGTTAAGATAGCATGGTATGGGGCAGAATGATAACTCTTTTTAACTGATATTAGTTGGTACTTACCATTGATGCTTGGAGAGAGAGGCCCCATGGCAAGGTTAGGATATCCTGGGGAAAGACTAGCTGTGTGCCAAGATGACTCATCGGGTGGTATTTGGTGAATCTACTTCAGTCAAGTAGGTTCAGAAAGCAGATTCTTCTCAGCATTTGGAGGGAGCTTCAACTTCTTGGGAAGGACTCATGTTAACCATGCTTACAGAGTGTTTAGGTTACTTAGTGCACCTCTGACAGGAATATACCACAAATGAGTGGCTTGAACAATAGGAGTTGATTCTCTTACAGTTTGGGAGGCTAGAAGTCTGAGTTCAAAGTGCCAGGCTCTAGGGGCTGGGTGAAAGCCCCTCAACCTTAGGTTTTAGCTCTGCCTCTTGGTCCCAGCCCGCTGAACCTAGAGGCATCAAAAAAGCAAGCAAGCAGCTGCTGGCTTCTGAGGCTGGACAAACCCAACGCTGACAAATAAAATGGCACAGTCCTGATATTACCAAACCACACGGCAGGCCATTGACTCAGGTCCCATTAATAGTCCCAAGATCAGCGGAGAACATGGCAGGCTGCTGAATAATGACTTGGCTACATGCAGGATTCAAGCATCCCAAAAGCTTGAGACCTTCCTCAAAGTTGCTTCTTACACACTGGAAGCAACCCACATCCCTAAAGCAGCTGCTACAGTAGATTGCACCATGGAGTTAATTACCAATCTCACCATGGGGAATAACTACATCTAGCTGCCCACCCACTCAACCAGGCCCAGCCAAGTTGACACATAACCTTCAATGCATACAGAGACTATATAAAACTATTATTTTCCTCTTAATTCAGTGTGAGGAACTTAACAGACTATTCCTCATCTCAGTGCAGGTTGCCTTAGAAGCCAGGTTGTAACCAGAAGGTTAATGAATGAGCTTGGAGTTCAGGATAAGAGGAAGTAGTTGTGTAATTAGAATGTTCAGTGCTCTCAGACCAAGAGAACCTGTTGCCTCCATCTCTATTATTGGGATGGCTGTGTCCGTGGTACAGTAATAATCAAAGTATATGGACCAGCTAGCTCTTCTCCTCCCTGGACAGTGCTCAGGCGGGCCCTTCTCCATGGCTCTTCTGTCACTTTGCTTTCATTGCTGACAATTACCTTCCAGACTGACCCACTCTTTAAACATGATAATGTCTTCGGTGTTGTCTTATTCTGGTCTAAGAGACATCCTCTTTAAATAAAAGAACTTTTTACATCTTTGTTCTGATTCATGTATAATTTATCTTATTTTCAGATTCTTGGAGACTATCTCATTTTTGCCTTAATGTATTAATAACAATCATAGCTAACTTTCATTAGATGCTTACTAGGCACCTGGCTCTATTCTAAGTGCTTTGTATGTATTAACTAGCTTATCCTCATAACAACCCTTTGAGGTAGGCATTATCATCATCACCATGTCATAGATGAGGAATTCCACAAATATTTTTCTTCTTAGGGTTCCAGTCCCCTCCCCAGCTCTGTTTTTTGCCCTGAGGCTGTATGTTAACTTGTGTCAAGTTCAGGACAGTATGAATCATTCTGAATGGCTAACAAAACATTGTTAAGTACATTCTTTCCATCTACTCTCTGTATTACAGGTAAGAACCAGACCCAGAGTGGTTAAATAACATGTCCAAATCACGCACCTAGTAAGTGGCAGAACAAGAGAAAGAACCCACATCTTTGATTCTGCCATTAGCTATTCTTCTTCCTGCCGGTAAGGTGGAGAGTCATGGGAGAGACCCATATTTTTTTTCCTTTTTACTACATGACTGTCAGATGATAGTGGACCCAAGTATATTCTCTTCATGGACTAGATTAGAATGACATATAAAAGGATTTTTGCAAAATAGAGATCAGATGAACACAATCGTTTTCTACTGTTTTGCAAAATTATGGTTTTAAAATACTCTGTTGTTTCCCATAACTTCCAGGAACAAGGTCTTAGAACTTTTGCTTGGAACACAGGCATTTTGCGTTTTTGCATTATGCCTGCCCTATCTCTCACCTCATCTTCTGCCACTCTCCTCATCTGTCATTTGAACAATCTCTTGGCTAGCTCTGCCTGTGCCCATACTGTTCTCTTTGCTTGGATGCTTCTCTCCATACCTCCTGTGGCCAGTTGCTACTCGAACCTCAAAACTCAGCTTATACCTCAGCCCTCTGATTTAGATGTCTGTCTCTGTGCTCCTTTAAAGGCATAGTCAACATGAGGAGGCCTGGGGTCTGAATTCCAGTTCTGCCTCTTGCTAATGCTGTGTATGATTTTGGCCACATTACTTAGTGCTCTTTAATTTCACTTTTCCCATCTATAAAATGAGAATAATAATATTACCCCACAGAGTTATCATAAGGATTGAATGAAATAATACAATCAAAGCAGTTTCCCTGGAATAGGGTAGTTTGAGTAAGTGGCAGCAGCTTTATTCTTTGGCTTCTCTCAAAATATTAATCATAACACATTATAATCATTAATTTATTTGGAGGTGATTATTTAGAGAGTAGTTGGCATATATTAAATGTGTGAAATCTTTAAAAACTTGCTCATGGTTGTTAAATATTAGAAATGCTACTTCAGGATATTATATAATCTTTAGGAAAAAGTAGGATACAGAATGCTGTGGCTTGATTTAGTTGTGGGTCCATAGGAGGACCCTGGAGTTCATTAACTGAGTGAGGGGGCATTTAGCTCTCTGATACCAAAGCATTTTTCATTGCACAGGAGCTTCTTCTGGTCACTGCTTTTCTTCCCTCAGATTACAGAGTTGAAAGCTGATTTTCAGTACCAGGAATCTCAGATGAGAGCCAAAATGAACCAGATGGAGAAAACCCACAAAGAAGTTACAGAACAGTTGCAGGTAACTGCATATTTGTACGTGGTAACTGTTGTGTATTTAGCTGGTTGCATTTTAAATGATCATCTCTTAGGTTTTTTTGTTTTGTTTTTTCTTTCAAAGTATTGACAAATCACATTAGTCTGTCTTACAGATAACTTTTTTTTTTCTCCCTCAGGTGAATTTTTATTTAAAAAAAAAATTTTTTTTTTTTTTAAATTTTATTTTGATTTGGGTGAAGATTTACAGAGTAAATTCACTTTTCATACAGCAGTTCACATATACTTTGTCTCATGTCATTGACCAAAATTTACAATGCAACAGCTCCCCTCCCACTTCCTCCCCATAGTTACCTCTTCCTAGTGTCCATCCCTCCATACTCTTCTGCGCCCTGAGCTGTCTCCCTGTGCATAAGCAGCCCTTCCTTCTCCCATGATTGTTCTCTCCAGGGCGTGTGTCTACTTGAGGTAAATGTTTAACTCACATGCTGGTCTGTCTTACAGATAACTTTTACTGTTTCACTCTTGGATGTGTTCTGATCTTTTTTTACCCTTCAAAAACACTGTTCTTTGATTTTTGTATAAACTAGATGTGATTCTAAATGTCTGAGTTATAAATTCTGTTTATCTTGCACACAAAGGCACTCCATGATTTGTTGCATGTGTTGCATAAAGCATCCTTTTGTCATGGTGGGTCCCAAGAAACTGAAGTACACTGATTAACCTCTAGTAAACCGGTTTTTTCTTTTCCTGAACCAAGCAAATACCAGGTGTATTTTACATCTAGAGTTTTGGTTACCTCTTCTGGATCTTCTGTGTTGTCTGCCTCAGCATCTGCACTTTTTCTGCATTAAAAACACGTCCTGTGCTGTTAAAAACCTCCTCCGTGCATTGATATTTTAGGCCAAAAACCGAGAACTTCTGAAGCAGGCAGCTGCCTTGTCCAAGAGCAAGAAGTCCGAGAAGTCAGGAGCTATAACTTCCCCGTGAGAGACCACCAGGAAGGAGGCTCCCCACCAACAGCAGATGGAGTCTGGCCTATGGTCGGAGACCTGGCTGTTTCCTGGGGATTACAAGCTTTCTTAAGAAATCTCTATTTTATTACGGTTCTCTTCTTTGTGTGAGTGCTGTGGACTGACTGAATGGAGACATCTGGTTTGTGCTGTGTTAAAACCGCATGCTTGAGTGTTTGGGGTTTTACTTTCTTGTTTTTTTTTTCTCTCTCTCCCTTTCTTGGTACTATTTTTTTTTTTTGTGGTGGTCACTGCTCAGTGTTATGTGCAGAATAATGTTTCCCCCATCACTGTATCCTGCCATACCCCTGAGCAACTATTTTGGCATTAATTACATATCACTGCCACCCTCTGAACTTCTAAAACTGCCACCTTAAGACTTGGTAAAATGGGAGAGGTTTTCTCTCTCCAATAAACGTATTGCTTCAGGGTATACTTTTGGGTTTTTTTCCAGGTATATTATGTATGAACTTTGTACTATGTATAGCCAGAGTTTTATTTATTTTTTAAAAAAGAAACTTTTTCTTGACAAGGGAATAATGGTAGCCTAGCTAGTTCTTCTTGTAAAAGTGATGCCTCTTGAAAAAATCAGTCCTACTCTCCAGCTTTTAGTAAAAATCAGATCTTTTCTTTCTTGTTACCTTGGAGTCCTAAAATTGATAGCTAAGGTGAAGGAATTCAATGCATAAGTGTGGAGTTAAGTGCCTTTTGGAGGATTTCTTGGAAGAACATTTAAGCAGATACTTAAGGGAGGTAGCAAAGATTTGAACAGTCTGTCTTTTTGAGTAAAGGCAGAAAGAAAGGTTGTCCAGGTTGTACTGGACACTCCCCCACCCCTTCCCTGATTGTTTTATGTGATTGATTTTAAATTCTCACACTGCCACTTCCTTTGAAAACAACAACAACGAAAAAAAACCTAGCCCTTTACTTGCTTGTATCACTTATTTTGAGCAGATTCCAAATGGGATAGTATTTGAACTATAGAGCATTTCTGGGGTCAGGATGAGCTGCTCAATGTGGACTCTGAGTCTGCCTGGGAGAAATGGTATCACTTTACCTTCTCCCCGCATCTCACCACCCCAGCCTTCACACTCCCTGCTTTTAATGGAAATGTATTGAAAACAGGCGTTTCTCAGGAACAGCTTGGCTTCAGCCAGAATTGTGTGTGGCCCCTGTCTTCCCTTCTTAACCTCTGTCAGTAGGCACATGAATTTGCTTTCCCAGAAGAAGGGATAAATTTTCATTTCTAGCCATACTCTCAGGTCCTCTATGTGATGTTTATGAAAGAATTGGCTCAGTCAGGGGTGTGTAGTGTGCCAAGAAACATAGCAAGCCAGCTACCTTGGAATCAGTAAGCCAGAGGGTACAAGAGTTAGAGGTAATCATGACGGCAGAGGACATCTGTGCCTAAGCCTACCCAAAACTGTAGCAGTAGGATTAATTTGCTTGGCATTTTCTAGAAGCAAAATGCTCTATCATTTGTGACAGCATTCTCATAAGTGGAACCATGCACATAATTAGACAGAGATGTGGAAATGGATGGCTTCCTTTTGATAAGAGGAACAATGGACCATGTTGCTTCTATATCACCCTAGTAGGGAATGTAATTTTCCCTTCTAAGCAAGGGAAACAGCAGTGCTAAACAGTTTTGTAACTTTTTGAATGAGAAACTTTTAGGTAACGATTAACTGTCAGATAATATTTTTCATATGCATTTGCATTGAGTATGGGGAAAAGATTGTGAAAGTGACAGTCATGGTTTGTTTTTTTATTTTAAAGGCTAAGAAATTCTGTTTTGTGAAGTATGACAATATAAACACATTCTTAGTTTTATACTAAATCTTTTTTAATGTCTTGGCATTTAATATAAAGCAAATCCACACATTTTCTAACTTGACATAAGTTCCAAAAAGGGAAGGACAGAACCTCAGTCTTGAAATTTTGGTTTCTAAAAGTCATGACACCGTTTTACCATGAAACTGAGTAGGTAACTTTTGGTAACACCTTTTGTTTCTTTGTATGTTTGTAATAATGAACATTTTAAAACACAGGAATGTTTTGGTTTGTACAGACTTTGACAAATGTGTGTTAATAAAAATTCCTATCGACTCAAGTGTGATTGTTAAGATTTAATTTTTAATTTTCTTTTTTGCTGATTCACCAATAGGCATATCCCGTTATCCCCCTCAACACAGAAAATAGTTTGTTGTTTGTAGACTTAAAAAATTGAAAACCCATGTATGAACTGCTATATGGAAAATGAATTTGCTCTATAAACTTTCACCCAAATCACACACAAAAAAAAACCCAACTACTAACCAGCCTAAGTATGCTAATAGGGAGTTTCATATTCGTAAGAGAATACATTTTTTTCTTTCATATTATTTACTCAGTTTAAGTGCTTGCTATGTGATAGACTTTGTGCTAGGCAATGGGGTTATGGTAGTGAACAAAACTCACAAAGCAGTGCTTCAAACCAGAATACATCTGGTATACGGAAGAATCACCTGGGAATCTTGTAAAGTGTAGATTCTGATTCAGTGTATCTGGGGTGGAAATGAAAGTTCTCAGCAGGGGGTTGAACCAGAATGAACCAGTTGGAAGCCTTGCCACAAAGTTACTGTCCTCATAGAGCTTCCATTTAGTGGAATACTGGGCAATACCATTGTTCCTTGGTTTAGTAATTACCTTTATTATTCAGAATATAATATAGGCTGAATCTTCCTGAGGTATGAATGAAGCCTCTTTCACATGCCATCATCTCAAAAGGAAGAGAGAAATGTATTAGTATGAAATCCTGGGGCTAGTAGGTTTTAACTTAGAAACAGATGCCTTTCAAATATTGCCACTGTCACATCCTGGGCTGTTCTATTCTGAAAACTCAAAAACAACTTGTTTTTTTCTAAATAAAGATATCATCAGCAATTTTATTTTCTAGGCTATGTAGCTCTGGTAGCATAGTGCCTAAGGCACTTGACTGCTAACCAGAGGCTGGCGGTTCAAACCCACCAGCCACTCCTCCAAAGGAAGGCTGGGCAATCTACTTCCGTAGTGATACCGCCTCGGAAACCCAAGGGGGGGTTGCTATGAATCGGGTCCGACTCCACGGCACATAACAACAAAACAACAAACAACAACATGTTTATGATCACCTATATTGTTTGAATTATCTTAATTTCCATGTATACAGCATTGACTATCACCACAGAGGAAGAATACAGAATGAATTGAGAGAGAGTGCACAAATAATTCCTTTTAGAAGGATCAGCACAGGCTGGTCCCTATAAGGCAGAGGTTAAAAGTGTCCCAAATGTCCAGTTTTTCCAAACTGACATAACACTTCATCATCTCTAACATCAACTACTCTCCCTCCCCTCAGTACTCACCTTCCCATCTTAAGAGTTGTGTAATTCACTGTAAAATTTCACAGAACTCACAGACCACGAAGGAAATGGCTCACAGAGTTGTGGAGGCTGGCAAGTCCCAAATCTGTGGGTCGGGAATTTAGGAAAACAAGGTCTCTTAGCCCTGTTGCAAAGAGCCGATGATCACAACAGGTTGAAGAGGGAAAGCAAAAGGTTTATTGAGTGTCGATACCCAAGGAGACAGAATCACTTATCTAAAATGTCTGAGCAAAGGGGTCAACATGGTTACACAGGGAGATGGGAAGGGGGTTGAAGATCCCTTGGACTGCCAGAAATGTCTTTGTTCTTCTCTTCCCTCATCACTCCGGACTCAGCGTCCCTCTTCCTAGGGTCATCTTGCTTCATAGGTATGGTTCTAGGCCACGACCAGTGTGGGAAGGGGTTAAGCTTAGAAGAATACATTATTGAAAATAGGAAATCTAAAGAACTCAGCCTCCATAGAGGCTAGCTATTCTGTTTACTTAAAGCAAAAGGGAGGGGAAAATAGCAAGTTAGTCACAATGATGAATGTCTACTTTAATCATGCCTGCTAGTCTGTTAAGAGTTCTGTAATTTTCAGTGAGGGGCCCGTTCGTCCTTCCACTTCAACCTTCCATAGCATCAGTCTTGGAGGATTCTCCTTACTAGGGGTTACAGGGGCTATTGAACCCAAATTGGCAGGTTAGGCTGCTGGTTCACAAGACTGTAGAAGCTGGTGAATCAGGTCAGGTGATAGTTTCTGGCTCAACTCCCAAGAACTGGGGGTGAAATGAAAACGAGACAGATGCAGGATATAGAGCAAGAGATGCCAGAGTATTCATATATATTGGATGCAGACCATACCCTCATGGAAACTAAGGATAGTGACTCAACAGCACATAACAACAACAAGAAAAACATTCAGTGTGGGAGGAGGCCACTCAGGCCTATTAATACCAGGAGATGAGAACCAATGGGGCCTCTTGGAGACTGGCTACCACATTGACCTTTGACCTATATTGAATAACCACTGTGTGAACTTCTAAACTTTGAAGGCAGGAATGAAAATGGCCATTTTGTGGGAAAGTAGTTCATATTTCTTAGCTATTAGTGGAATCAAGAACTTCTTTGCTTATCTGTGCTTGCCAGGCTGCCCTTGAAGCAGATTATCAACTCTATTTGAAAAGTAAGGTGGTGTCATGTGGTGGTAGAGGTATTTACAACAGTTCTTGGCACCTAGTGCATATTCCATTGTCTAAGCTTTTATCATCTATGACTTCTACAGAATCAACATCTTCGGCTTCCTGAAAAAGAAAGTGAGAAAGGAACAAATTAAAATGAACAGGTATATTCATTTGGTTCTTGCCTCCAAAGTCACTTCTATCCCAAGATAACTTTTGGCCACCAGAATGGTTATGGAACCCACAACTTTTGCACCTTCCCACACACACACATTAACACCCCCACCCTCCCACCCCCTGCTTCATGTATGCCACTTTACTGCACTGATAGCTAGTGTGGTAGTTAAGGTTATGTGTCAACTTGGCTGGGCCATGGTTTTGAGTAGCTGGGCAGCTGGGTGTGGGTATTACCCATAACGAGATTTTACATACCTTCATGGTGGAATTTGCTGTG